TCATTCTTTTAAAAAAAAAGAATGCAGGTTTGGAAGCCACTGGCCTTAACGCTTTGACATATTACAATAATATTACTGAAATGTCCCAGATGTTATGTGTCTCTCTCAGTCTAAGATCCAGACTCTCCCAGGAAGTCCTAGGTCTTTCAGCTTGCAAATGGGGAAATTCGATTCTCTTTGCAAGTGAGCAATCTTGCCCTTCCAGGCAGATCTAAATCTCCATCTTATCTTATCTTGTTTATACACATCTTACCTTTCCTTTCACCTAACCCACCCACATGATTGTCTTTGGCGTTTCTGGATTGTCTTTGACGTCTGCCCTGTACACCCTTGTACATTTAACACTTTCAGAAACCTGCTTAAATCATGCCCTCGTAATAAAACTGTTCTGTTTTATTTCTGTTTTCTTTCTCTCCTTTTCTCCAAGGAAAATGGTGAACCTTATTATCATCCCTAATTTTTATTCTCAGAACACAAAGAGGTAGATTAGTCTGAGATGCAGTAACTTCAGTGAGCTTTCTGCCTGAATAGGAACACAGATCCTGGATTGTCATAGTAGTGATCCTACACTTTCACCGATATCCAGCAGCCTTCTAAATCAAATTTAGTGCTTATCCATCCTGTTCTGTTCTCCATCACAGGACTGACATGATATACAGTAGTGTTGGGATTGGTTTTATACTGGGATATGTACTCCATGAGATTCCCAGTGTGGTGTAGTGCAGGGGTCCCCAACCTTGGGCTTCCAGATGTTCTTGGACTTCAACTCCCAGAAATCCTGGCCAACAGAGGTGGTGGTGAAGGCTTCTGGGACTTGTGGTCCAAGAACATCAGGAGGCCCAAGGTTGTTGATAGAGTGATGGACTAAAACTCCGGACCACATGGTTTGAATCACCGCTCAGCCACGTACCCTCTAATTTTCAGCCCTGGGCTCCACCTCTCTCTCTTGTTTTCACTCCGGTGTGTGTGATTCCACACACACACACACCTGCACACATAGTTCTGTCGTGACCAGAACCAAAGGGGTTGAACACTATCGCTGGACAGAGGAGGAAGAAAGCTGTGTGGAGGGAGGTTGGGTCATGTGTGCATGTGAACAGCTCAGAGGGAACTTTGCGGCTCAGCCATGGACACTCACTGACTGGGGAAGTGGAACTGGTAAAACCTCTCCTTATAGATGTCACTTACCTTGAAAAGCCCTATTAGGGTTGCTACAAGTCACTTCCTACTTGACGGCGCAGAGCACACAACATGGACATGTACTAAAAAGGTGTCAAGCAGGAATTCTGCCTGAGAACCTGCTTCCTTCTTGATAGGGAAGAAGGAACTGTAAGGAAACCAGCTAAAGCAGTGGTTCTTAACGTGGGCGACTTATAGATGTCACTTACCTTGAAAAGCCCTATTAGGGTTGCTACAAGTCACTTCCTACTTGACGGCGCAGAGCACACAACATGGACATGTACTAAAAAGGTGTCAAGCAGGAATTCTGCCTGAGAACCTGCTTCCTTCTTGATAGGGAAGAAGGAACTGTAAGGAAACCAGCTAAAGCAGTGGTTCTTAACGTGGGCGATAATGCCCCCCAGGGGGCGATTTCATTTTTCAGGGGGCGGTAGAACGAAAAGGGGCGGTGTGGGGGCGCTGGAGCAGAAGGGGG